AACACACAAAACTGAGGTCACCTACAGCAAAATGCTTTCAGATTTGGGAATTCTCAATATTAACTCTTAGACTGGAGACAGAGCTAGATGCAAAGTTACTGAGTTGGAATGATTGAGGAAAACATTGCAGAAATTATTACAGAGGGCACAAGATAAACTGGGACCAGCTAAATCCAGTGGGGTCACTTTCAATGGAATTAGCTGAGGGTCTTGCACCAAAGTTTGGAAATTTTGGAAATAAGTTTGTCCAAGAGCACACAGAGTAACTGTAAAGCAGATGAGGAAAAAAAAAAAACCAACAAAGGAAGGGAATAAACAGCAGCTCTTATCAGAGCAAAGCCCCTCCTCAGACCACAAATGTCCCTTTGTTTTGGCTGCTAGGGTGACAAGATCCATACAAGAAGTTCACACAAGTCCAGAGTGGTGTTTAAAGTCAGCAGCATTTCTACCAGGCATTAACTAAATGCTCTTTTTTTTTTTCTGTGAATTTACAGTGAATTGCACAGATCTGCTGCCTTGCTGGTGGCAGCACATCAGACCTTGAGTGAGCAGCTGAAGCGAGGACACAAGGCAAGCAAAATAAGTAGACCTCAAATAAGACAAAATAAGAAGACCCTGCAGCTTCAAGGTTAGTATTTAAAAGCTGCCCCTCCATCTCTGAGTGGATTTTTAAATCAAAAAGATATAAAATATAACACAGTCATCAACTAGATGCTGTTAATTGAACTCCCTCCCTCTCATTGCTGGAGAGGAGTAAAGCTCGGGGATTGTTTCAGGGAGCCAGAAATTTGATGAATACAAATGTGATCAAAAAAGTTGAGAGAGGGGTGATGTAGCAGGGTGTAAAGGAAAGCTGGAAGTTGCCTAATAACTGCAAACAGTGAGCAAAATGATGACATGCTGTGAGGCATTACGTGTAATCGTTTCTGCTTTGAATCTGATCAAACATCATGTGCAAAGGGTGTCTCAGATCCTCCAGGCTACCCGAGCAGCAGTATAAAAGCACATGCTGCTCATGTCTCTCCCAACACCTTCTCCTGACTTCTCCTCAAGGACTTGAGTAAGTTTTTGATCCTTTGTGCCTTTTTTGTATCCTCTTTTAACAATAACCCTACATAAATCTCTGCCATGGAACTAGCAGGGCCAGTCTCTCTGTAAAAGCAGCTTCACTGGCCCTGCAGAGGGCTTGGGTCTGGTCTTGGCCAGCTTCTTGAGGGACTACTACAGTCCATGCAAAGTGCTTTAAGGATTCATGATTCCTAAAGCTAGTACAGAAATGAGCTGCAGCTTTATCTAGGCTTAAGCAGAAGATCAAACTCAGTTTTGAAGCCCTATGTAACAGATGGTCCTAGACATTCTGTCCTTCAGGTTAACTCCAGGGAAAGGGGGCTGGGTGAGGTGGTCATTGGTCTCATGATGTACAAAAATGTTTGTGCTCCTTTGCAAGGGGACACAACTGAAACAATCCCTGCTTCTGAGGTTGTCCTTTGGGATGTGCTTCAATGCATCCAGGATGGATATATGGAAAGTACAGTTTGTTGGATGTACACAGCAAGGTTAGGCAGAGTGTGGCAAGGGCAGAAATAAATAAAACTCAAGAAGTGTGACCAAAAGGTGGAAGAGAGAGCTAGGAACTATGAAGCCACATCCTCTGTGTTCAGGAAGCTACTCAAGCAGGTGGCTTACTCACTAAATACTCCCCAGTGCCTGAATGTACAACTGACCTATCCCTGAATTCCTTTACACAGTCTTCCATCTTTCTGTGTTTCAGATCCACTTCCATCAGAGAACAATGTCCTCCTACAGACAGCTCTGCAGCTACCAGTGCTCCACACCATGCGAGGTGACCTGCCCACAGCCCATCGCCAACGCCTGGAACGAGCCCTGCATCACATCATGTGGTGACTCCAGGGCAGTGGTCTACCCACCCCCTGTTGTCATCACTTTTCCTGGGCCCATTCTCAGCTCCTGCCCTCAGGAAAGCGTCGTGGGATCCTCAGCACCAGCTGCCATTGGGAGCTCACTTGGCTATGGAGGATCTTATGGCTATAGAGGCTCTTTTGCTTATGGAGCATTGCAGGAGAACAAGTTCTCATACCCTTATTGTTCTCAGAGGTTCAGTGGTTATCGCTCTAAGATCTATGAGCCCAGCCAAACCCAGCAGGAAGATTGCACCAAGAGCAATCAGGAGACTGAATGCAAGATCCAAACTCAAGAGTGAGATGGGTTTCCAGGGTGCTGACATGAAGAGGGTGATCCTTGCTAACACTATGTTTTATTTGTGCTTGTCCCTGCTTATGCACTTCTTCCTTCCTTTCACATCAGCTACAAGTGTGTTCTTCTGTTCTTCTCATGGTCCAAATTTTCAAATGCATTAATACATCTTCTATGTTCACCCTAATAATGTTATACAAGAAATAGAACAGAAAAGTTTGTAGACTGTGACTTCTCCCACTTGACACTGCCTGATGTCAATCAAGAGTTATGTTACTGGATGAAGACTGGGTGGTGTCATCCAACTTCCTGCTACAGAAGAAGAAAAGACCATTGAGTGAGAAATGAAGCTTCCTCAAATGAAAAAAACCTCATTTGTAAAAGCCTAAATTAGTTCATTTTATGATCATCTGTTGCTTTTGTGAACTTTCCTCCTCTATAATTCATTAAAATATCATTCTGCATCATAATTTTAGCCTTCTGGGTTTGATTTCTGTCTGTTCTTATGAAAGAACACGATAAAGAGAATCTCCTGGGTGGAGCATTTGTGCTTCCACCCTCCTCCAGCCCTGTAAGGAGAGTGAAGACCTTAAATGATCAAAACCACCCAGTCAGCCCTCTGCTCAGCAATGAGTTTTCTTATCTTGTACACCCACTTTTCCCAGCATCTTAAAGGTTGGAAGAGACCTCTGGAGATCATCAATTCCAACCCCCCTGCCAGAGCAGGGCCATCTAGTCTATGGCAGGTCACTTTTGAGTTCATACTACACCAGTTTGCACTGTTAGGAATTACTGGAGGCAGAAGAACAACACATGGAAGAGAAAGGAGACTCATCATTAGTTTCACACCCAGACACATGCATGAAGGAAGAAAACCAACAGAACACAGGAGACTTACTGGGAAGCTGCAGGTGGCCAAGGACACTTACTGCAGCAGGCAGCATCCAGCTGTCCACAGAGAGACACAGTCAACCAGATCTTCATTGCATATTTAATCCTCCCTATTTCTATGTATTTAAAACACCCTCTGCTAATCCAGAGCTGAGATTCCAATGAGGAGCTGAGAAGAAAGGCTTAGTGCTAAGCAGTACTCACAGAATGCTTTGGGTTGGAAGGGACCTTAAAGATGATCTGGTTGCACCCCCTCTGCTACAGGCAGAGACACCTCCCACTAGACCAGGTTACTCAAAGCCTCCTCCTCTCCTAAACAGGGTTAATATAACAATGAGCTGAGGAGCTAATTAGCTAATTGCTCTGTTTACCTTGTAGCTGGTTTTCATTGCTTCCAGCTGGTCCCTGAGCACTCCTGGACCACTGCTCCCTATTTACTGAGAACTTTCTATTTTCTTTTATAACAGTCTTCTTCCAGGTATCTGAGTTGTACTTTGAAGTAAGGCTCTGCTGACCTTCTTCAGGCTCCTATTTCTGCTTCTTAGGGCACTGACAGGAGGCTCCTTCACTTTGCAGAGCAATAAGAAATCAAGCTAGCAAAAGATATCTGCTTTTGGATATTTATGATCCCAGCTGAGGCAGTTTTATGATCTCAGAAATCTAGAGATGAAAGTACAGAGGAGGGAAACAGATTCAAGCTTCCTATATGTCAGACTAGGATTTCTTCACTAGCTCACCTCCTGCCTCTGGATGACTCTGGGACATCCCCTCTGCTCCTGTGCTCTGTCTAATATTCTGTCTTTATTTCTCAGTCTTCTATACACTTATAGTATAATCTCATATTCTATTATTTTTTTTATATATAGTGTATGGAATTACAACAGTTCTGGTAAAAAGCCACGGAAGTTTAGGGGAGTAGAGCTGAGCTATAAGAATATATTTGGAGTGGCCATTTGGCACTTGAGGCTGATCTTAAATATTTTATCTATGGGTTGGGCAGTTGTCTCATACCTGGTCCCTTGTAAAGATTAAATCGGGCACACGGGCAAGTTCTGCACGTTGTGAGCAGAGTTTCCTCATGAATGAATCCATAGGTGTAATGTATAAACACTGTCTCTAAGAGCCTAGCAGTCATCTACAGATCTCTAAGATAAGGGGGTGGTTTGGTTCAATTACTTTGCAGAGGCTGCATTGCCCCAAAACAGAGAAAAGATGACAAACAGATGAAACTTATTTGGATGCAATCGTGTTTATTGGGACCAGTGTACAAAGCAAAGGAAAAATACATGATGGTCTTTGGTGTTTTAAAAAAGTACCAACTTAATAACATGCTGAAAGGAAAAGGGTTTGATGAAGGTTGTTCTTCTGTATTGGTTCACGTTTCAAATGGACTGGAGAAACCACGGTGTGATGTGACATCTGTGGAGCTTTCCTGTTGGACATGCAGGTACTAAAAAACTACCAAAGGAAAAAAAAATGCATGGTCCCAAATAACCCAAAACATACATGGACCCCTTTGCAGTGATACCAATGCTTTAGTGGGCTAACAGGGAGAAACAGATTCTGCACAACCAGGAGTTTGGTTCCTAAGCATGGAAAAGACACATTTTGGGAAAACTGACATTAAAAGCAAACAGAGCATAAGAAGGACAAGCAGAAGAGCAGCTCCCACGGGTGCTGAGCAGCACCCACAGGTCCCCACTGCTTCAGAGAGCCATGCTCCTCAGCCCAGCTGAAATGTCCAGGTCTTGCTGTCAGTTCTCCTGCTGTTTCTTCTGCCAGCCACACCTTCTGCCACGCTTAGCATGGCCCACAGCCCCCCGAGCGCTGGCTCCAGGCGGAGGAAGACAAGAAGCTCCCGTAGACAAGGGAGCCCTGCAGACCCCTGGGCTGGCCCAGCCCCAGGGGGGAGGAGGTGCCCACGATGCTCTCCTGAGGGCAGGAGCTGAGGATGGGGCCGGGGAAGGTGATGACCACGGGGGGTGGGTAGACCACGGCTCTGGAGTCCCCGCAGGAGGTGACACAGGGCTGGTTGCAGGCGTTGACATATGGCTGCGGGCAGGTGACCTCGCAGGGTGGGAAGCAGCGGGAGCTGAGCTGCTGGCTGGAGAAGGACATCTTTCGGGCAGGGAGATGAACCTGATGAACCTGCAACATGCCGGGGAGCCCAAGTCAACCCACTGCCCACAGGCTGCCACACAGAGCACCCTGCTCTGCCTCACCAGCAGCAGGGAGGGCTCAGCACGTGCTGTACAGAGTTGCTCTGCTAAGGTTTGGGTGTTTTTTGTTTCTCTTCCCCCTTCCCCACCCTCCCTCTTCCCTCCCAGGCTCTCCACATGCGCTGCCCAAGCCAGCTGGAAAGCTGTCTCCATGTGCAGCACTCAGTTCATCCTGAGCTAAGAGTAAAGCACCAAGACTGAGCCCCATCTCGGCTGAACTCCTCTGATCTGTTGCAGCAGCTGCAGTGGAGCTTGGACAGATCTGCAGCTGCCCTGTTTGCCAGAAAGAACATCAAGGAAAAAGATGTTCATGCAAAGCCAGGTATGGATGGCACTGCAGGACAGACGGTGGGTGCAGGAGTTGGTTAAAAATAATACAAACCCACAGTACCTAGAGATAAAAGAGATGAAAAAGGGTAAGACTTACTTGGATCAACGAGGAGGAGAAGTGAGGACCTGTGATCTGAGGGCTTCTGAGCTAGAAGCCCTTATATACCATCTCCTGGATTGCCTGGGGGGGGTTGAGACATCCTTTGTGTTTCAGATCTGTTACAAAACACAACAACTCCCATCACTCCCCAGGCTTCTATGACTGTTTCATTCTTCATTGGACAATTATCAGTTTCTTCCAACACCCTCTTGGTTCTTCCTTAAGCTTTCGGAAGAAGTTTCACTTCCTGCAGCGTTTTGCTGATTTTACTGATGTGACAGTGATGCTGGAAAATTACCTTCTCCACACAATTGCTCCACAGGGTGTTTTTCGAGCACTCCTCAGCATCACAAGTAGCACAGGGCACTCTGGGCTGATTTTCTTCTCTAAATCCCTGCTGATACTGAGGTGAAGCACTGTAGGGCTTATTCTTGGGATAAATCTGGGAGATTTCAGGACACGGTTTAGTGGTCTTGGTAGTGTTGGATTGATGGTTGGACTTGATGATCTTAGAGGCATTTTCCAACCTTAATAACTCTAGGATTTATTCCATCTGCCTTGTTCCTCATCCCACCTACACGCTGCAGGCCTGACGATGCCCACGAAAGCACAGAGGTGATTTGTTTTTTGGACTCTTGCGTTTCTTCTGTATTTTCTTCTGCTTGTGAACAGAAACCCACAGAAAGAATCCAAATTCAATTAATGGAAGTTTTTGCAGGTTCATTTGAACGTCTTTTTTGATGGTGTTATGATAAAATTATGTGTTTGATATAAATAAAGGTATTGAATGCTAATTTAGTAAATGGATTTGATGCTTGTTCACGTACAATGGATCCATATGTCCCATAGCAGTGCTGTGATTCATCACACGAGGAATCTGTGCAAAGACAAACCATATGTCATGCTAATTTTGCTTTTCATAGAGCTATTTGTCTTTGAATACTTCACTTGAATATTTACACTGCCAAAAAATGGCTGTGAAGGGTTTCAGTTGGTAAAACACATAAAACTTCCCATTATATGGGAAAAAACATCAAGATGGCATCTGGATGCCCCTTTTGGGTTGCTAAAACTACAGAAGCAAAGGATGAGGCTGTAACCCTGTACATCATGAGTCAAAAGAAGCACTTTGGGGTGTCAGCAGAATTGGCACGAGTACGTAGCTCCCTTTTGCCCTTTCTGGAGGGCAGAGTGTTTAGAAGAGGGATGCATCTCCAAGAATTACGTGATTCATCTGTAGGTATCTGTAGGTACATGTTATCACTGTCATCGCCCGCTTCCAGACAAAGTGAAACCAGGTGTGGTTTGTGCAGGAGGAGTGGACAACATGGGTTGTTTCCTCACGTCTTCTTCCTTTTGTTTCTATTCCTGTTTCTTTACGGGAATCCTCTACCCTAAACTATTAGTAGATTTAAATCATCCCTCTGCTGGCATTGCTAGGAATCAACACCTATGGAAATCTCAAGATGGCCCCAGAAAAGAGTCTTCCTCAGCCTCCTTGCACGGGTCACCTGTACAGCATCACACTAGTGTAGGGCAAAATGGAATAAAATGAACCTTTTAGAACAGAAGTCTCAAGGTTACTTAACACCAGGCATTCAACCTTGACTTTCCTAGAAGGGAATGGATTTTAGAGGGGAAGAACTCTACTTCATGAATGCTTAAAAAAGAAGCATTTGTAAATTAAGTCAGCTGGGATGGAAAAAATGGATAGACTTTGTTGAAAAGAGGTTTATCAGCAAATAACTGGAGAACTGGAGACGGTACTGGATCTGAGGGAGAAATCTGCTGAAGTCAGCGGCCAGTCTTCTGCATCCGCTGAGACTGCACTTCAAGATTCCAGCCCCAAATGTTCCTGGGGTGATGCATGGCTTCACTCCCTGACCTGCTTCACCCCAAACTATGAATCGTTCATCACTCAGGAGCCATGAGGTCTTCCACAATGATCTCATGGAGTGTCTGACATGAAAGCTGGACATGAACTTCTCATTAAGATTCCCCTGTGTCAGCAGGTCAAGGGTGGGGGGATTCTGCCCTGCTCTGGGGAGCCCCCCCTGCAGTGCTGGGGCAGCTCTGGAGTCCTCAGCCCAGCAGAGCCAGGGACCTGCTGGGGCGGAGCCAGAGGAGCCCCAGCAATGCCCTGAGGGGGGAACCCCTCTGCTGGGAGCCCAGCAGGAGAGAGTTGGGCTGGGGCAGCCCCAGAGGAGAAGGCTCCAGCTGGGGAGACCTGCTGGGGGCCTTGCAGAGCTTTGAAGAAGTCTGGGGACAGACTTATGAGCAGGGCCTGTTGTGCCAAGACAAGGGGTGATGGGTTTAAACTAAAAGAGGGAGATTTATACTACATAGAAAGGAGAAATTTTTGACACTGAGGGTGGTGATCCCCTGGCCCAGGTTGTCCAGAGAGAGACTTTCCAGATGAGGTTGGATGAGGGTCTGAGCAACCTGTTCTAGTTGCAGATGTCCCTGTTCCCTGCAGGATGGTTGGATTAGACAACTTTTAAAGCTCCCTTCCAACCCAAAATATTTTAAGATTCTATGATTCTGTGCCAGGGCTGGATAACAGCAGCTCCCTGCTTACAGGTCACTGCACCTGTAAGTTTAAAACCTGAAGTGGGACGTGTGTTTGTTTCTTGGCCAGGAGGATGGGAACAAACACGTCTTTTCCAAGCATATAACTCAGTAGGAAGGTGTCTAGAGTCCAATATGCCTCATAGCAGATTCACAGGAATAAATTTGCATGGGAATGATGGGATAAATTGCACAATGCCCCCTTACTGGAGCATGACTTGGAAAAGTGGGGTAGTATCTCAGGTATGTCAGCATATTGTGTTTATGGATAAACTTCTGAGCAATCTTTGTTCCGTGAGGCAATCAGAGAAATAGGAAAAGCAATAAAAGGAAAAAAAAATTACTCTGTCAGAGTAATGAGCAGATCTCAACAGTAATCAGCATCACTGAGCGAAATAATTGCATTATCTGGGGCAGTTACAGGTGGAGTGAATTTTTGTTTGATAATGCATTAGGACATCATAGGTGAGGAATGTTTCACATCCTCCTGATTGCCTAAGAAAAGGTATAAAAGTGCTCACGGTTCTGGGCTGCTCTGACCACTTCTCCTGGTTTGCTGTTTGCTGTGAAGAGGTAAGTCTGAGCCTGACTCTATTGTTCTGATAATGCTGGTGTAAGAATGCAGGATTTTGACTGAAACAGAACTGTGCTTCTTAGAAACGTGTGAAATGTTTGAAACTTTCCTTCAGAAAGAGCCGTTTCCTACGTATTCAGTGGCAGGCTGTAAAAGGGCAGGAGATTTCCAAGCCGTTGAAAGTTTGGGTTACACAAACTTATTTATAGTGAGATTTAGTGAATTCATATTTCCCCCAGCCTGACCCTCCTGCCTTTGTGAATCTGCTTTACTTTGCTCATGTTGATTTGTAACAGTGACTACCAAGAGAAGTTAACTCTCAGACTGAACTAGGAACCACCATTGGCAATAATGTTTTGTCCTCTTCTTTGTAATTATTTCTGAATTAATTTGGAGCTTGTTGTGCATTATTTTATGTACTTGTTATGGTCAGGACTTTATTCTGTGTCTTTATTCCCAGCCTTTCATTTTAAGGGTTTTAGAAAGGCAGGGCAGAGATCAAGAAGAGCTGCAAATTGATTTTATGAGTGATCAAGTGATCGCATGATTAAAGAGGACTTCACAAAATTACACACTAACTATTCCTAATTCTGCCACAGTCATCTGTCACCTCAGTCATCTCCAGCAGGACAGATGGGACCACTTTCACAGGAGGTCCTGCTAATACTGGAAACATCCCTGATGCAGCATTCCCACCCAAATGTGGGAGATTCTCCCAGGCAAACCCTGTGAGCTCTCCAGGGAATGTAGCTGCCTCTTTATCTGTGCAAAGAACACACAGGGGAGCCCTGGTGCCAGCTGTAGCATTGGAAAGATTAGGAATAACACTGCCAATAACAACCAGGCTTCCTGAATTTTAACTCTGTCTCTTCTGCTACCTCATCAAATGGCTCTGGGCAATGCATCCACTTCTCAGCCTCAGTTACCCTTTCCTTAAAGCTGGAATAGCAATAACTTGCCTCATACTGTTCTAATGACTCTTAGTGGTGCAGAGCAGCACAAGATGTTACTACAGCTTCTGTTCTTTTCTGCAATTATTTATAAAAGAAATTGTCATGTGTCACAGTAAGGTTTAAAAGGGAATGTTGGAAGGGAGAAGTGGTGAAGAATAGGGGGATAGCTTGAGTTCAAATACACAATTTCCTTGATTAATGGATGCTTTCCTTGTTAAGGATGTTTTTATGTATCAAATTGGCTCCGTAATTAGGACTCAAAAGAAACAGCAATTGATCCAGAGGAGAGGAAGAGGGCACGAGAAGTTGAGAATTTCCCAAGTTTTGCCAAGTTTTGTCAATGGTTGCCAAGACAAACAGAAATCTCCAGCCTCCTTCTGGTCTTCCTGCTCTCTTTTCTTCTGTCTCTCCATTACATTGGTATCTGAGCCTTCAGCCATGCGTTGCCTCCACGTTGTGTGTTTCAGATTTGTCTCCATTCCCAGAAGATGTCTTCCTACAGACAGACAATCAGCTCCCACTGCCTGGCACCCTGCGAGGTGACCTGCCCCCAGCCCATTGCCAACGCCTGGAACCAGCCCTGTGTTACATCCTGTGGTGATTCCAGAGCTGTGATCTACCCACCACCTGTGGTCATGACCTTCCCAGGACCCATTCTCAGCTCCTGCCCTCAGGAGAGCTTGGTGTGCAGCTCAGCACCCTCCAGCATTGGGAGCCTGTATGGATCCATGGGTTCCAGTGGCTCCTATGGTTCTAGGAGCTTGTACAATTATGGGAGGTCATATTCTTCCTATGGATCCAGTGTTTATGGTTTTGGGCACTGCAGACCATGTTAAATGTACAGTGAACGAGGAGCAATCACCCAACACAGAGGAAGATGTGTCTCTGCAAACCCTCTTACTGGCCTTGCTTTCCTGGAGCGTGGACTGTGCATCTAATGGCTTAGATATAATTCCCAAGCTAACAATTTTAGTTTTCTGACTCTTCTTTCCAGCGGCTCCTGATAATAATGGCATGGAATTAGTGATATCGATGATCTTTGGCTGGTTGAAAGTGGGACAAGATGCTGTAAATCTTCCCACACCATGAAAAAGAAAGAGTAATGTATATGGAATGCATAGCCCTGGAGCAATTCTTTGTTTTGCAACCTTTAATGAGACCCTGGCAACTTTTCCCTTGTGTTTTTCACCCTCAAAAAGATCTTTTACTTCTTACATCCTCATTAAATTATTGTGCATCAAAATTCTGAACTTTCTTGTCTTTTAATTTGTCCCCCATTTTACACCATTCGGGGTGAGCATCAGTGTCTATAGTGAACCATGATGGTTGTCTGCTTGCTTTCAACACCTAAAGCTGGAAGGTGACAAGATCCTCTAAGTAAGGGCGAGTGGAATGACCTCCTCCTGCACAGAACTAATTCTGTGCTGGATGAACATGTTTTGTAACCCTTACAACTAAGTTAGAAACTTCCTCCAGGGCAGGTGTGGTTACAGGGTGTATTTACTACTAAAGAAAGTTAAACACATGAGTAACTTTGAAATCTTCCTTGTGTCTCACTACTTGCCTGAGGCTCAGCTTGAATTACATCCTCATACATTGTTTTCATGATATCTTCTCATTGTTTAAAAATACTGTGTAATAATCTGTGGGTAGAACTTTCCTTTGAATGGCCAACAGGAATTTTTAACTGGCAAATCTTTGCTGAAATCCTGACAGTTCTTTGAACTTTCTCATTAAGACCTCTAAATTCTTAGCAGTTAAATAAAATAAGAATTCTTAGATCTTCCCTGCAGAGCAACACCTACTGCTCAGGTCAAATGCTATTTTCCATCTCAGGAAGTTTACACCTAAATTTCAGGCTGTGGATACAGGGTATGTTCAGCCCTTCTCTTTGTTCAACAGCAACAGGATTCCAGGCTCCTCATTTATGTCCTTTTGAGATGTTTTTTTTTCTAGTGATGTAATTTCCTTACAATTAGTAGAGCTGTCAGAGGTATTCACTTCATCCTACTGTTTCAATGCCAACCAGGACTCTCTGATGGACCAGGTACCAGATGCTACTCAGCACTTCCTCGTGTGAAGCTGCTGTTCCTCAGAACATCAACAATGCCCTGATGAACTTCCAAACACCTGAGCAGTCTAACTCCTGGCAAATCCCAGCCTCACACTGCTGAATTGTTTTTTCTTTTGGACAGGATTAGGTATGTGGTAATAACTTCAAAGGGTTTGGCGGTGTGACTTCACTTGTAAAATTAGCTGAAACGAGATGAGGCTATAATGAGGAAGTCAGGCAACACCTCTTGCTTGTTAGGATGTGTCTGAAAGCTGTCTTGTTTTCCTGCTTCTTCTGTCTCCAGTCCACTCTGAGATTATTCTTGGAGTCACTCAGATGCTGTCAAAGACTAGTACCTATTTGTGCAGGTATGCAGAGCACTAAAGAACCAGATCACGTATTTTCAAGACACATCACCATGGTGTTGATCACTACAGAAGTCCTCTTTTCAAGGTTTTTGTTTTCATCCTCCACAGAACAGTAGAATTACATCAATCCTCTTCTCATATAATTATAGAATGGTTTGGGTTGGAAGTGACCTTACAAATCATCTCGTTCCAACCCTCTTGACATGGGCAGAGACACCTCCAACTAGACTAGGTTGCTCAAAGCCCCATCCGACCTGGTCTTGAACACATCCGATGACAGAGCATCCCCAATTTCCTTAGACAACCTGTCCCAGGGTCTCACCACCCTCATAGTGAAGAGCTTCTTCCTAATTTCTAATCTAAATCTCCCCTCTTTCAGTCTGAAGCCATTACCTCTCACTCCTATGGGGTAGAAGATACCATGTCCTATGGGAGCCAGGAGATAGAGCCAGGACTACAAGTAGATCACTGTAGTATGCATCAGTTGATTGATGGACTCTTCTGACTTTGAACGGTGCTTGAAGACAGAACTCCACACCACCATTATTTGATGAAGTGACCGGCAGAGACTGTGCTGGGGAGCAGGAGCTCCTAGGCCACACCACATGTAGATACGAGATGGAAGGAGCATTAGCTGATATCTGGAAGCAGTGCTGAGATCTTGATGGTCTGCTGACCACTGCAACAATGGAGACCACTTCTGACTGTGAGATGTTCTTGGTCAGTCATGAGAAGTCCAGGCTATTGGCAGCACCAGCAGCTTGGACTCTTGTCCCTCCTGTGAAGGAAACAAGTAATTAACAAAAACCAGGAAGCAAGGGTGAATGAAATCACAGTCTCATCTTGAACTATAGAGGTCACTACACTCTCCTCTCTCTCTCTCTCTCCTCTGAACGTGCTCTGAGCCTGTGTTTACAGCCTAGTACAAGGTAACGCTCTTGGTAAATGAGATGCAATCAGAAGCTGATTCACAGAGGTGTTGTAAACACAGCCTGAAGCATATGTCCACCCCACGCACTAAATTACAGTTCAGAACAGATAACTGTGGGAGTTAAGCCTTTCATGTTTGATTTAAGGAGGTGGCTTCACTGAATATTTCATCACTCCTAGAGCCTAATGGTTTTTACGTGGTTCAAACTCACACCACGGGTAAATAGCCTGGAGGCACAATGGCTCAACATAACAGACCCAGAAATATGCCCTGATGGATGCCAGCTTCCTTCCAGGGCTTCAGTCTGTGAAATGAGCCAAGTGATTCCTTACATTCTATCTCTTATCAGTTTTGCAATGGGAGGATCTGAACCTGAGGGTTTCAAAGGCTTTAAATGAAATGTTCTGTCAGAGAAAACTGGAGAAAGGAATCTTGGAATTTTTTTTTTCTTCTTTTTTTACTTAGAAAACAAATGATGGAATAAGCCGTGTCTTGAATCCTTAGGTCACTGTTTTTTGGAAGTGTTCAAGGTCAGGTTGCACAGGGCTTTGAGCAACCTGATCTAGTGGAAGATGTCCCTGCCCATGGCAGAGAGATCTGACCAGATGATCTTTCAAAGTTCTTTCCAACCCAAAACCATTCCCTGATTCTATAGCTGTTAAATTTCCTCTGCCCTGTACACTACTGGCCATGCCATAGGGCATCATTAAGATAAAATAAGCAGAATTTCATGAAAACAGGTTGGTTTGGCTGATTATCTGATTTTCAGAATTCTGCCTTAAAACTGATGCAACCAGAATAGTTTCGATTTTAAACCCCAGGATTATTGACTCATGCAGGAGTCAGAGTACTAACCTAGATTACAAGAAAATCTGAATATTAATATGGAAATTAGCATTACTGGAATTCTCCCTGCCCTGGTAAATGCTGTGACATCAGAGCAAAGAGGCAGACAGGAATATCACACTGTGTGCTCCTCATCTGCTGTTATTTTCCTCTTTGTCTAAACGAGATGTGAGTAACTATGGAAAGCCAACCTGGAGCTAACCAGTGGGATAGAAAACTAGAGACAGAAACCATATGTCACTTGTTAGATGGGGATGTTGGAGAGAGTTCAGTTCTGGGCTTTACCAAGCAACTTCTTTATCACCTGGGGTAAAAAATCTACCAATCTTTTTATCTGTGTGGAGAACACTGCCTTGAATCTCTGTATAAAAGATGCCTATCTGCAAAAGAGGGTAAAAGAGCAACGCTGCTCCTGCTTTGCTTGTCCTATTTACTCTGAAAGCACCTGAGGGCAGGGATTGGCTTCATTCTTTCTTTGCACTAAGCTCATGTGCAGCTTCCTTGCAATTTGAATTCACTGTACCACCAGAAGCTTTGCAGCACTGAGCCTCTGCTGCTCCCAATACCTCCTAAATTACAGTTAGTTCTTAGAAGGAACGGGGATTATTCCTCTTTCCTCCTGGGCTGAAAAGCTGGTGGCTGCAAGGAGGAATGAGTTTTAGCTGTTTGAGTTGTCTGGAGTTTAAGTATTGCTGAGCAATGACCAGATTGAACATTGTATCTGTGAATTTATAGGTGCAAATTTACATTTGGAAAGTACTTTGCTGGGCACCACCTTGGTGGCTTTTGTGGTCATGCTGAGTTCAACATGGAAACCCACAATTCCCTTTTGGGGTGTTCAGGGAAAGGCTCCATTGCAATCATGTTTAAATAGCAGGAGCTAAGATACTGTGTTATTTCAAACTTTTCAGATCCTCAGAGGATGGAAAGCTGCTACTCAGGAGTGTCATTACAGAAATATTTGTGACACCACAAAGTTCAGTCGGTGCTTAAATGTTCTGTGCTTAAATGTTCTGCTTTAGTACTGCTCAGTCAGCAGCTTGGTCCTACTCGTGGGAAGATATCACACAGGGCAGGTGGTGGATGAAGGGAGGAAGGGAAACCAGAAGGCTACTGTGTGATGCAACAAAATTTTTAATGAGCAAGAAATGCCAATGTTGGCAAAGCGAGGTATAACAGAATATGAAAAATCTGTTTCCAGACAATTTCAAAGAATCTTCAACAATTGTCCTGCTCGGAGATGTTGCTGTCCTCAGCTGGCTTTCTTCTATCTGCTGTGAAAATACTGATGGAGATACTTGTCCTTATAAGTGATGTCCGTATGGACCACGCTGCCCACGATGGTTAAAAAAAATGGGAGAGCTGGAGCAGGCAACAACAGCAAACAACAAACAACAAACTGAAGGGTAAACAAAAAGCAGAAAAAAGATCAGAAATGTGGCAGTAGCTCCACTGCAGGGCCGCAGGAACGCTGAGCCCCCATCCTCATTGCTCTGCGTTGGGTTTCCATGTCTGGCTCTTCTGAGGTTTCTCTGCTGCCTTTAGCAGGGCCCACAGCTGCCACGGAGGAAGCGGCCG